CGCTTTATTTCATTACGTTGATCTTCAATCTCTGATATCCTTTCTTTCACTTGATCAGTTCAGCTATTGATGCTTGTGTATGCTTCACGAAGTTTTTGTTCTGTGTTCTTCAGCTTCATCAGGTCATTTATGTTCTTCTCTAAACTGGTTATTCTAGTTAGCAATTTGTCTAACCTTTTTTCAAGATTCTTAGCTTCCTTGCATTGGGTTAGAACGTGCTCATTTAGCTCCGAGGAGTTTGTTATTACCCACCTTCTGAAGCCTACTTCTGTCAATTCATTAAATTCATTCTCCGTCCAGTTTTGTTCCCTTGCTGGCCAGGAGTTGTGATCCTTTGGAGGAGAAGAGGCGTTCTGGTTTTCAGCCTTTTTTTGCGCTGGTTTTTGCTCATCTTCATGGATTTATCGACCTTTGGTCTTTGATGTTGGTAGCCTGCGAATGGGGGTTTTGTGTGGATGTTCTTTTTGTTGATGTTGATGCTATTCCTTTCTGTTTGTTAGTTTTCCTTCTAACAGTCAGGCCCCTCTGCTGAAGGTCTGCTGGAGTTTGCTGGAGGTCCACTCCAGACCCTGTTTGCCAGTGTTAGTATTGAAATGTGAGGTATCATTACATTCATCATGCTCATTGCCTGGAGATGTCTCCCAGTCAGGAGGCATGGGGGTCAGGGATCCACTTGAGGAGCCAGTCTGTCCTTTAGCAGAGCTGGAGCGCTGTGCTGGGAGATCTGCTGCTCTCTTCAGGGCCAGGAGGCAGGAACGTTTAAGTCTGCTGAAGCTGCACCCACAGCTGCCCCTTCCCCCTAGGTGCTCTGTCCCAGGGAGATGAGAGTTTTATCTGTAAACCCCTGACTGGGGTGGTATTTGGTTACATGAGTAAGTTCTTTAGTGGTGACTTGTGAGATTTTGGTGCATATATCACCCGAGCAATATACACTGCCCAGAGAGGAGGAATCTAGAATGGCAGTCTGGCTACAGCGGCTTTGAGTAGCTGCGGTGGACTCCGCCCAATTCAAACTCCCCCCGCCCCCTCACCCCGCCCCGAGGCTTTGTTTACACTGTAAGGGGAAAACGGCCCACTCAAGCCTCAATAATGGTGGATGCCCCTCCTGCCACTAAGCTCAAGTATCCCAGGTCGACTTCAGACTGCTGTGCTGGCAGCAAGAATTTCAAACCAGTTGATCTTAGCTTGCTGGGCTCGGTGGCAGTGGGATCCGCTGAACTAGATCACTTGGTTCCCTGGCTTTAACGCTCTTCCCAGGGGAGTGAACGGTTCTGTCTTGCTAGTGTTCCAGGTGCCACTGGGGTGTGAAAAAAAAAAATCCTGCAGCTAGCTTGCTGTCTGCCTAAATGGCTGCCCAATTTTGTGCTTGAAACCCAGGGCCCTGGTGGTGTAGGCACCCGAGGGAATCTCCTGGTCTGCGGGTTGCAAAGACTGGGGGAAATAGTATCTGGACCAGAATGCACTGTTCCTTGTGACACAGTCCCCCACCACTTCCCTTGGCTAGGCGAGGGAGTTCCCCAACCCCTTGCACTTCCCAGATGAGGCAATGCTACACCCTGCTTCGACTTGCCCTCTGTGGGCTGCACCAAGTGTCTAACCAGTCCCAGTGAGATGAGCCAGGTACCTCAGTTGGAAATGCAAAAATCACGTTCCTTCTGCATTGATCTTTCTGGGAGCTGCAGCCCATCTTGCCAGCCACACTGGTTATTTCCTTTCTTCTGCTGGGTTTGCATTTGGTTTGTTCAAGTTTCTCTGGTTCCTTGAGGTGTGGCCTTAGAGTGTCTATTTGTGCTCTTTCAGACTTTTTGATGTAGGAGTTTAGGGCTATGAACTTTCTCTTAGCACTGCCTTGGGTTTTGGTAAGTTGTGTCATTATTGTCATTCACTTCGAAGAGTTTTTTAATTTCCATGTTGATTTTGTTTTTGACCCAGTGCTCATTCAGGAGCAAGTTATTTAATTTCCATGTATTTGCATGGTTTTGAAACTTCCTTTTGGAGTTGATTTCCAGTTTTATTCCACTGTGGCCTGAGAGAGTGCTTGATATTATTTCAATTTTCTTAAATTTATTGAATCTCGTTTTGTGGCCTATCATATGGTCTATCTTGGAGAAAGTTCCATGTACTGTTGAATAGAATGTGTATTCTGTGGTTGTTGGATGGAATGTTCTGTATATGTCTGTTAAATCCATTTGTGCCAAGGTATAGTTTAAATCCATTGTATCTTTGTTGACTTCCTGTCTTGATGACCTGTCTAGTGCTGTCAGTGCAGTATTGGAGTCCCCCACTATTATTGTGTTACTGGCTATCTCATTTCTCAGGTCTGTTAGTAATTGCTTTATAAATTTAGGATCTCCAGGCTGGGCACAGTGGCTTACACCGGTAATCCCAGCACTTTGGGAGGCCGAGGTGGCCAGATCATGAGGTCAGGACATCAAAAGCATCCTGGCTAACATGATGAAACCCCGTCTCTACTAAAAATACAAAAAAAAAAAAAAAAAATTACTGGGCATGTTGGCAGGTGCCTGTAGTCCCAGCTACTTGGGAGGCTGAGGCAGGAGAATGGTGTGAACCCGGGAGGCGGAGCTTGCAGTGAGTCGAGATCATGCCACTGCGCTCCAGTCTGGGTGACAGAGTGAGACCCCGTCTCAAAATAAATAAATAAATAAATAAATTTAGGATCTCCAGTGTTAGGTGCATATATGTTTAGGACTATGATATTTTCCTGTTGGACGAGGCCTTTTACCATTACGTGATGTTCCTCTTTGTTTCTTTTAACCACGGTTGCTTAAAGTTGTCTGATATTAGAATAACTACCCCTGCTCTCTTTTTGGTGTCCATTTGCATGAAATGCCTTTTTCCACCCCTTTATTTTAAGTTTATGTGAATCCTTATATGTTAAGTGAGTCTTCCGAAGGCAGCAGATAGTTGGTTGGTCAGTTCTTACCCATTCTGTGGTTCTGTATCTTTTAGGTGGATCATTTAGGCAATTTACATTCAATGTTAGTATTGAAATGTGAGGTATCATTACATTCATCATGCTCATTGTTGTCTGTGTACTTTGGGTTTTTTTCTTTTTTGGTTTTGCTTTTTAACTTGTGCGTGTGTGTGTGTGTGTGTGTGTTTTAATGGGTCCTGTGTGATTTATGCTTTAAAGAAGCTCTGTTTTCCAGGATTTGTTTCAATATTTAGAGCTCCTTTTATCAGTTCTTGTAGTGGTGGCTTGGTATGAATTCTCTCAGCATTTGTTTGTCTGAGGATGACTGTATCTTTCCTTCATATATGATGCTTAGTTTTGCTGTATACAAAATTCTTGGCTGATAATTGTTTTGTTTGAGGAGGCTGAAGATAGGGCCCTAATTCCTTCTTAGCTTGTACGGTTTCTGCTGAGAAATCTGCTGTTAATCTGATAGGTTTTCCTTTATAAATTACCTGGTGCTTCTGTCTCACAGCTCTTAAAATGGCTTCCTTTGGATAACCTGATGACAGTGTACCTAGGTGAAGATCTTTTTGTGATGAATTTCCTGGGTGATCTTTGTGCTTCTCGTATTTGCATGTCTAGGTTTCTAGCAAGGCCAGGGAAGTTTTCCTCAATTATTCTCCCAAATTTGATTTCCAAGCTTTTAGAATTCTCTTCTTCCTCAGGATCACTGATTATTCTTAGGTTTGGTTGTTTAACATAATCCCAGACTTCTTGGAGGTTTTGTTCATATTTTCCTATTCATTTTTCTTTGTCTTTGTTGAATTGGGTTAATTCAAAGACCTTGTCTTTAAGCTCTAATTTCTTTCTTCTACTAATTCAATTCTATTGCTGAGACTTTCCAGAGCATTTTGCATTTCTAAAAGTGTGTCCAAAGTTTTCTTGAATTTTTATTGTTTTTACTTTAAGTCATCTATTTCCTTGAATATTTCTCCCTTCACTTCTTGTATCTTTTTGTTTGCATTTTCTTGCATTGGGCTTTGCCTTTCTCTGGCCTCTCCCTGATTAGCTTAATAACCTCCTGAATTCTTTTTCAGGTAAATCAGGGATTTCTTCTTGATTTGGATCCATTTTTGGTGAACTAGTGTGATATTTGGGGGGGTGCTGAAGAGCCTTGTTTTGTCATATTATCAAGGTTGGTTTTCTGGTTCCTTCTCATTTGGGTAGGCTCTTTCAGAGGGACGGTCTAGGGCTGAAGACTGTTGTTCAGATTCTTTTGTCCCACAGGGTGTTCCCTTGATGTAGTACTCTCCCCCTTTTCCTATGGATGTGGCTTCATGTGAGCTGAACTGCAGTGATTGTTGTCTCTCTTCTGGGTCTAGCCACCCACCGAGTCTACCTGGCTCCAGACTGGTACTGGGGTTTGTCTCCACAGAGTCCTGTGATGTGAACCGTCTATGGGTCTCTCAGCATTGGATACCAGTGCCTGTTTCAGTAGAGGTAGTGGAGGGTGCAATGGACTCCATGAGGGTCCTTAGCTTTGGTGGTTTAATGCTATAGTTTTCAGATGCTGTTAAAATTCTTACAATGCCCAAAGAATTGGTTCAAAATATTAATAGTGTTAAAGGTGAGAAATCAGATTTAGATGAAATAAAAATGTCCCAGTTCACTCAAATGCACTTTCCTTTTCAGGATAGAGCATAAGTAATACCCAACTTACAACTAGAAGACCAAAGTACAGTCCCACCCAGGAGCACTTGCTCTTATATTTTGATGTTTTTATTTTCAAAATTATATTTTAATATCTATCTCGTGGGGTTGTTACAGAAATTAAATATTATAAGGTATGGGAAAAGCCTTAGTTCAGTATCTGGCAAATAGTAGTTGCCCATGAGATGTTTGTAAAAACAGGTCCATAAACCCATGGGGAATGGGGTTTAGGAAGTGGAGATGAATGAAATTTACACTGAATAGTTCCTGAGCACCTCATGCTTTCTAGGATCTGCACCTGTATCACCACTTCTGAGAACACTTTAGAGAGTAGTAGGCATTGACAAAGATCCAGGGAGGTGTGCATACGTACTCTTTGTTCTTTTCGTTCCACGGCTGCATTGCATTTTTCTATTCCCCAGTTTCTCATAAAGTCTCTGAGATAGCCAAACAGGGTTCCAATTCCATACCCCATGTAAGTGAAAACCATAACATGAAGGGGTGCTTCTTCAAAGGATTCAACAATGAGCTTATCATAAAAATGTGTCCTCCCATTTTGCTGAAAACACAAAAGAAAATCCAAGGTTAGCATTCGCCTGTTACAAATATACTATGATACTTAAAACTGTCAACTTTCAACTCTTTAAATTCCAAAGGCCATATTTAAGATTGTAAAAAAATTAGAAACTGATCATTGAAGAGGGAAATCAAAAATTCAAACTTTGTTTTACAAGCCGTAGTAACATAATTGATTCAAGCAAAAGTTCTCAACAGAAACTCAAACCGCTGTGTGAAGAGTTAATGAGGAAGAACTTATTTGCAAATTGCTAAAGTATGACCCCATAGCTTACTTCCTAATCAGAAACGTGGGGTCGTTACCTTAACCAGGTGATCAAATTATATCACAAGTGTTGGAACAAGCAGCCACTCTACACTCCCGTTATGTGTAATATTCAATACACAGCAAACCTATGAAATATTTAACCTGAACTTAGTCAAGCTCTTATGTTTAACTTCCATTTTACAAGAAACACTAGCCTAAAGGAACATGGTAAATGACCCTATGTGAAAACAACCAGATAATCCAGAATGTAGAGCTTTCTATAGGACAACTGTCCTGATCTTTTAAAAAAGTCATTTCTGATAAAAGAGGGGTGGACAAGAGGACTTAAGGGAAACAAGTACATCTAGTGTGTGTTCCTTCATCAAATTCTGTTTTCTTCCTGTAATTTTTGCGTGAAAAACCAGGTGAATGACAAACTTTGAACAACTGTGGAAATCCAAATGAGGACCATATATATATCTTATTAAAGAATTTATTAATTTTGTTAGGGAAGATAGAGATATTTTTAGTTATATCACAGAATGTTTTAATCTTTATAGATGCATGCTGAAGTATTAAGGGGCAAAGCATTATAACAGCTGTAGTTCTCTTTAAAGTGGTTTGTCAAAATTGCATAAAAATATAACATAAAGCAACTTTGAGAAATGTTAACTCTCGAATCTGGATGGAGAGTATATAGGTGTTCATTACATATTTTTTTCTACTCTTCTGTATGCCTGAAATTTTTCGTAGTAAAAAGTTTTAAAAACTGTCTGTTTTATTTCACTTTTCAGTAGAAAGTAGACTTTTAGCACCAAACCATTCTGATGACTGTTTAATTGATTTGCACATAGTAGGTCAAACAACATCTGGTCAATTGATTAGTAAATACATATTTCTAATGCTAATATTTAATTGTTTTAGTCCTTAACAAATATTTATACATTCATTTATTGTTTCATTCAATAAATATAAATCAATCTGCAGATTCCCCATTTCTTAATGAGGTGACACACGAAAAATGTGTTGAACACTTGCAATACATAGCTTTTAGTGATTTACAAAAAATTGTCAAATCTCTACTAATATTTGATGTACCAACTTAGCTTATACATATATATGTAGAATGATTTATTATATTAAATCATGTACATTTGAAATACTGTTTTTGCCATTTTCCTAATCTTTGTCATTATAATCAACACAGTTTTCCAGAACATATTATCTTCATTCCCTCTACATTGTTTGAGAAGCAGAATTTTTGGAATCTCTGTGATTTAGTCACTGGAAGTTTTATCCCAAACCATAAAATAGATGAAAAGCAAATCAGTCTGGTAGATGAATATTTTAAATCTCTACATTATTATCCTTTAAGAAATTTTTAAAAGCCTTTTTATAGTGATATCTAACATTTGAATTCTTAAGTCAAAACACAAAATATTATTAAGATGACTTGCTTCCTTATTTATTTATTATTTCGGGTTACCTCTATAGATACCCCAAACTAACAGTGGTGGATGTTCCCGTCTAGTGCGTCATCGCAAACACTACTTGATGGTATAAAATAATGAAAATGAAAGAGCATTTGTTAATATGCAGTCTTGAGTAAAAGTTATACTCTTGACCTGTATATAGGACATTTGTTGCATGCCTTCCATGAGCAAGCAACATGTTCAGCACTGGGAATTCAAAGATGAACAAGACAGACTCCATTCCTACTCCTCCCTCTAACTACGTCCTTACACCAGTCATGTAGGTCTGATGGATGGCTGATCTTGCTATGTTATTTTAGTACAAACCTTTGGCTCCTTTCCTTGGGTCTGTTCTGCACTTGACCTTTGGACTACATTGATCTCCACAATTCCAGGTGACTTCCTGGCCCACTTAAGATCCACCTCCCGCATCTTTCTGCATCACAGGGACATAAAATTGGCTTCCTTGTCGGATTTGTCCAGACTCTAGCAGAAGGGACTCAGAGTCTCATGAAGGAAGACATGTCGGAACTTTTAAACTGATTAGATATGAAGTCAAGGAAGAGGAGAAAGAAAACTATTTGCAAGGAGCAGTGTAATATTCTTGATGAGAAGAAATAAGGATTTGGAAGGAGGGCTGCTTTTTGGAGAGAAGACATGATGAGTCTGTACAGAACGTGCTAATTTGGGGGTGGTAATTGCCTGCATAAATTCCCAGAGCACTGAGGAATGTAGGAGAAAAGAAATACCCTGACTGAGTCAATTACTATGGGCCACAGTTTAAGTCATGGTTGAAGGTGAATAAGGCACAAATCATAAAGAGGGGAGAGCAGTAGGCTTGGGACAGAATTTGTGGACACAGTGCTTTTTTGGGTACCACAGAAGAAAAAGAGTGAATAAAGAGAACCCAGTGTAGGTGACCTCAGAACCTTAATTTAACTTGCTCACAAATTAACCCCTTTGGCTGACTTAGAGAATGGCTAAGTTATGTGGGTGTATACAAAGACAGAAAATGTGAGGACATTCAAGTCCAACCCCTGGCAATCAGCAGGTTTTCTCTTTTTCCTTTCCTGGACCCATCTTCATTTCTGAGCTTCACATGTAACCAAATCAAGTGGCACTTTTCCCTTGAAATCCATAGGCAGTTTCTGCTTGAACTGGCTCTGAGGCAACCCTGCACCGTACATCACAGATAGTCTACCTAGATGCAAATAAAACCCTCAGTTGGTTGCACAGACTGGGACTATATGTAACTATTTATTTGCCCCTGTGACTTGTTCCGAAAGAAAGTAATAAAACGAAGGAGAAAATTTCAACAATGTTCGTTAGATCAAACCAGTATCTACTGTCCTCTCATGTAAATAGATACATTTTTAATTTAATGTCACTTAATTAATTTTATTTGGCAGAGGAAAAATGAGATACCTTCACAGAGAAAAAAGTTGTCTGGAAATGTATTGGTCTCCTTAAAAGACAACTAGTGACTCACTATATTCTTTTACTTATAATTGAAGTCAGTCACACCTCCCAGGAGGAATTCCCTAATCTGTTGTTGGATAGTTACCTTGAAATATAAAATTTCATCCTATCAAAGTAAATGAAGCATAAAATCTTGCTTAATAAGTTTACATTTATTAAGCACTTGTTATTACTGCAGATAAGCACTGTTATTTGTAATACGCTTTGGCTTGTTCTACCTTTTCTTCCACAGCCTTAAAAATAAACAGATCCTGAGCCACAATGCCTACAGTATCTAGTCGTTTGGGATACTGTGACATCCTGGGGTTTGTTTACTTCCTGCGCTCTGTCATATCTGGAAATAAACTGGAATATGCAAGGAGCCCTTTACAGACAATTATTCTTCTGTTCAACAGGTAGCTCTTTTACTGGCTGTCCTAGGCTAACATTAGAGGAGATATGAAATCAATAAATACAGTATGTTTCCCCCAGAATCGATAGTGCAATAGGGGGTGTGTGTGTGTGTGTGTGTGTGTGTGTGTGTGTTTGTGGTGGGGACACAAATGACCATAACACAGAGCAAAATGTGAATATCACAGGATAATGCAAATGAAGGGACCACATCACACTGGGTGATCAGGAGTGATTCCTGAGGAGGTTGAAATGGAGACTGGTGTTGCTGGGCAGTCGAGCATAACAATGAAGATGATTTGCTCAGGGGTCAGACTTTCCTTTGCTGACTGTGTGACCTTGTGAAAGTCACTTAATTTTTTGAGGACTCAAATGTCTGGGCTAGTAAAGGTCATTTTGAAAATTAAGTGAGATAATATATACAGGTTACCTGCCACAACACAAAAACTCATTAAATGTTATGATTTTT